AACACAGATTAATTTCCAACATTTAACAATGGTTATGTTTATTCATATGTCGACTGAACATATCCAAGTGAATAGAAAACATCAAAGAGTCTGTCACATTTCTTTCATATGTAAATGTTTAACTAGCAATAGCCTTAAATGACATATTACTAATAACAATAGTATAGAGTGATGCAAAATAAGCGATTTTGAGGAGTGAGGAGCAAAATGAACCCGTCATGAACCCGGAAGATAATTGTGAAGGAGTATTAACGTAATCCAGGAAACAACTTAATCCGAAAATATTGATTAATCATCTTAAATGAGAGGTAACAAGTAGAGAACACACTGTTATTTTTGTATTAAAAGAGTATATTTGATTTAAAAGAGTGACAATGAAGAAACTTGTAAATTTTAGCAAACACATTTCTATTGTAAATATTCCTTATGAAGGTTGAAAGGGGTAGTGGATGGAGTAGATAGATGTCGTTTCAATAGGCGAACTAAAAATGTATCAGATACTATTGAATCGGTTTTGTTGAAACAACATGAGAAAATTTCTCTCAAATTTGTTAGTTGTATTTATGTTAGCTCAATGACAACATACAATCACAAGATCGAAGGCCATACTTCCGATCTGTATTACTCAATAGTCATGATAAACAAATGAAAACACAAAACTGTTAAGATCGGAAACTACGTTTCCGACTACATGGTCTGATGATACATTTACTTTCATTTGTATCTTGAACTCGAGTTTTTATTGTTTAGATTTATATCTGTACAAATAATAATCTAAAGAAGGATCCAACCGATTAAAATTGTTTTATTGATATGCACGTCATTGTCTGTTTCATTGATGAACCACTGCTCAAGAAATCTGTACAGGTGATGTGCTTAGTGTGTTTACTGATTGATTTTCTTAAGAAATAAAGGAGAAAATATTCAGTGGATTTTATCTTCTTGAATGAGAAATTATAAGTATAGCATTTAATTATCTGTATTTATTAATATGAGTATATATTTGATTTAAAAGAGAGACGATGAAGAAACGCGTTCGTTTTAGCAAACATGACTCTGTTATAAATATTCCTTATGAAGATCGAAAAGGGGAATGGATGCAGATAGGAGTAGATAGATGTCGTTTCAAGAGACGAATTGAAAATGCATCAGTTATTATTGAATCTGTTTTGATGAAACAACTTGAGAAAATATCTCAAGGTTGTTAGATAGTTGTAATCATGTTAGTTCAACCATAACATACAATCACAAGACCGGAAGCCATACTTCCGATTTGTGTTATCCAATAGTTATGATTAACCAATGGAAACACACATTGACAAATCGGAAACTATGTGTATGACTACATGATATGATGATACATCTATCATTTGTATCTTGAACTCGAGAGAAAGAGGATGAATTCTCGCTGTAAATTAGATCTTGGCAGGCAAATTGTGAATTTCCAACGAAGAAAGGGATCAGTTTAAAGTTGGAAATATTCAAGTCATTCGAACTTGCTCAGGAGATGATAGACACGGCTTTACAAAAGAGAGAAGATCTTCAATATCACCTTGGATCTAACATCTTCTGTACTGTGAAGAAAGACAGTCCCTGCGTTGACATTCGTCAGTACTGGCGACCTCCAACTGAAGAAAACCTCATACCTACAAAGAGAGGTCTTTGCTTGCGTCCCACAGAGTACAGAGCTCTAAAATCACAAACGGCAGAATTACACAAAGTGGTACCCGAACTACAAACTTTAGTTCCATGCTTTTTAAGAGAGGACCACGTGAATCAATTGGGAATGCTTCAGTGTTCAAACTGTAACCCTCTAGAATTTCAAAATTGGTGAAATGGATGTTTTATGACATTATAAATTTACTGTACTTGAGTACGGTTTTCATTTTAATATGTATGTTTATTATCTAATTGTATTCATCGTTTGAAACAAAATGTATAATGCATGTCTTTGAAATCAGTATAAGTAATGTTTATTTGCGTATTGTCTTGTTATCATACATGTCTACATCAATAAAGCTTTTAATCCTCCATGAATCATGTATTTCCTGCTGATAATACAAAGGGTATTTAAGAAAAGAAACGAAATAGATCTGATTAAGATCAAGATGAAGTTGAGGAACGTTGTGTATCAAGGAGAGATGAATTGTCAAATTAGCCTCAAGAACTTAACACAGAAGTTATTTAATGTGCGATACGATCCTCGAACTTTCCCAGGTGTAATATATCAGAATAGAAAAATTGGAGGAAATTGTTTAATATTCTCCAACGGAAAAATTAACTGCAATGGATGTTGCGAAAGTTTTGAACTCGGACGCAAGCGACTTAGACAGTATGCACGCGTCATACAAAAATTAGGATATACAGTTATTTTAACTAAAGTCCGTCTTGTCACCGCTTCTGCTGTCCACAAATTAAGTGGGCGCATGAAAGTCAATACAATGTTGCACATGTTAACATGTTCTTACGATCCAGAGTTGTTCCCCGCCGTCATGTTTCGGCGAACGGGAATACATTTTACTTGTCATTTAAAGGGTACAATTCTCATTACAGGTATTAAACGAGCACGCGACATTGACGACATAATATACCCCACTATTGTTGAACTTGAGACATGCTTATAAGAAATTGTTTACATTATCAATATTTGCTCTTTCATCATCATGACCTATGAAGATTATCTACAGTCCATTTATTACGATACAAAACATCCAGGGTCATTCGGGATATTGGAAAAGCTATATCGAGCAGTGCGAAAGGAAGGCAAATTTGTACTCAGTCGTTCTAAAATTAAACACTGGTTACAGAAACAAGAAACTTATACATTACATAGACAAGTGAATAGAAAACTAAAGCGAACCCAGGTTGTTGTACCCGAAATCGGATACCAGTGGGATGCAGATACAGCTGTCATGACTTCCTATTTGAAATTTAACGACGGATACAGTTACTTTCTTCTGACAATTGACGTCTTTTCTAAATTTGTTTGGACGGTACCCCTAAAATCCACAAAAGGAGTTGAAATGGTACACGCTCTCGACTCTCTGTTTAGACAAACCATTCCTCCTAAAAATCTGTGTACAGACAAAGGGTCTGAATTTCAAAACAGCGGAGTTGAGAATTTTCTGAAAAAGAAAACTGTAAACCACTTTTTTTCTAAGAATGAAATGAAAGCGAATGTGGCGGAAAGAGCAATCAAAACCATCAAATCTCGCTTAGGTCGTTACATGACAAGACATCAAACACATCGCTGGGTCGATGTGCTGTCGAAAATTACTCAGAGTTATAACTCAACTTATCATCGCACCATCAAGCTGGCTCCCAATCAAGTGAAGAAGAGCAACGAAGCTGATATATGGATGAATGCATACGACCACGTATGCAATTCGCGTCGTACCAATAAGGTCAGATCAAGCAAAACCATACGATTTAAATTTAAAATTGGAGATAGTGTGCGTATTTCCCATTTACGACAAGCGTTTGATAGAGAATACGACGAACGATGGACTGGCGAGCATTTTATCATCAAATCTCGCACTACTAAACAGGCTATTCCCGTGTACGAGTTACAAGACATCGATGGAGAGGATGTAAAAGGTACATTCTATGAAGGAGAATTACAGAAAGTGTTAATTTCCGACAAAACAATATATAGAATAGAGAAGTTATTGCACCACAGAGGCAGACAAGTTTTGGTGAAATGGTGGGGTTGGCCCAAAAAGTTTAACAGTAACATACCTAAATCAGATCTCAAATACTATAAGAAGAATTAACACAAAAGCAAACATAGAAAATCTCTATCATGGAACAGTCGCCTATTTATCAACATGCCGATTTCTTAAGAGAATTGGGACACGCGGGTCACCGAAACCAGCGCACACTGATAACAAGAGCTAGCAGACACCAGATGCTTGCGCTTGGCGAAGTAGTGTATCATATTCTTTACAGTTTAATACCTCTGTTAGCCAGAGATACTTCCCTTTTTCGTTTCCATCGTCGTTTTCTGAGACAGCTAACAAGTCCTCGCATAGCCATCGAAAGGAAAAAAAACTGGCCTGTTATCTCATCTCTCTTTGGTACCGAGAATATTAAGAGATCGCTATCTGGCTAGCATACTGATTTATATCATCAGAGCTCGCGAGAATTAGAAATCAACTTTCATAAGAAACACTACACAAACGTTCTAGAAATAAAAAAATGAGTTTCTTTCTCTTTTTGAATAGTCAAGATTCAGTGACATTTCGCACAAACAAACCCCCTACCGATTTTATTATCACTCTACCAAAATCATACATTTTAGAGGGTACATGGGAATGCGCAATATGTGAAATTAGCGTTTCGATCAGGAAGGATATATCTACTTCTAGACTATATATTTGCACCGACATCGTGGAGGATAGTTATGCAAGGAACACAATGCTACCCATCTTGAGGACTCTAACCCTTAAACCCGAGGACGATGTTGTTCAATTAGCCTATCAACAACCTTTTTATTTTAATGTGTGTAAACAGGAAATTCAGCGTATCAGACTATTTATAAGAGGCGAACATTTACACACACTGAAGTCTAAAATCCATTCTTTTACGTGTGTTTTTGGGATTTAGAAAAAAGTCATGGGTTCCATAGAAGTTTACGATTACAAGAAAATGCACTGGGTTCCTTATGTACCAGACTTTGAAAAGTGGAGACGGCATTTTGAAGATGTTTCAGCGGGAAGGGTGCGACCTGATTATAAAGGTAGATACATTGTAGGAAGTGGTTCTCGTCACCGAACGGAGACTTCCCCCGAGAAAAACGAACCGGTGGTCAAATTAGTGACTTCCGTGGCACAAGCAATCGAAATGGCTAGATCCGAATTGAAGCGCGAAAACGACTCTAAAAATATATCGGAATCTATAAGAAAGAGTAGAAAAAATCCTCTTCCAGGTCAACGAGCCAGTAAGATCTCTAGGAAAAATTCCAAGAAACCAAGGTTACTCACACAATTTGACGCTTAGTCATGGACGAAAATCATATGGATCAATTCTCTATCTTTGAACCCCCACCCATGGACACCACCATACAGACAAGAGAGTGGGTAGAGTTCAGACCCATCAATCAAATATCTGAGTATTCCGCAGTGGAATTTAACATACCCCCGTTATCTACAGGTTACATGGATCTTAAGAATAGTCGCTTGAAAATTAAGATTAGGATATTAAACGAATCAAACTCTCCGGTTAGTGAGGAAGATCCGGTGGCACTGTCTAATTTACCCCTGCACACAATTTTCGCTCAGGTGGATACCAGTCTCCAACAGACTCTCGTCTCACAATTGGGAACCAACTATCCATACAAAGCTTACATCGATACTTTATTGTCAACTTCCGCGGAGAACTACGAAGTACGATTTTCTCAACTCTTTTTCAAAGACACTTCAGATCCCGACGATGCAGATCCAATCAAAGGAGTGAACATTGGTTTATTTCAAAGGTATCAATACACCAAGAGCGGGAAATTGGTCGACTTGGAGGGTCCGTTGCACGTAGACGTTTTCGAGCAACAACGTTTGATTTTAAATGGAGTGGCACTGTCCCTTAAGCTTTGGCACAGTAAGGATCCGTTAAGATTAATGTGTGCATCAGGTGGAGATTACAAAATACAGATCGTGGATGTCAGCTTTAAACTCTGTATTCAAAGACCTAATCCTGCTCTCACCATGGCCCACTTGAAAATGTTAGAAAAATCACCTGCAATATATCCTTACATCTCCTCTAATTTAAAAATTGCTTCAGTTGCCAAAGGAGAATTCGCTTTTACCATGGACGACGTGTTTCAGGGTGAAGTCCCTTCCACGCTTGTGGTAGGGTTAGTTTCAAGCAGCGCATTCAGCGGAGATTATAAGAAATCACCCTATAACTTTCAACATTTTGACTGTAATTTCGTCGGATTTTATGTGGACGGACAATCCTTTCCCTCTAAACCCCTACAGCCTAATTACGATACCCAAACATACCTAGAAGCTTACCAGACCCTAGTGGAAGGAAGAGAAACAATCCATGTAGAGAGAGAGGATTATATCTCTGGAAATGCCTTGTATGTGTTGAATATAAATCCCTACATCGATTTCAATACCAAAAGGAAAGGTCATTGTCGCCTGGAACTAAAATTTGCCGTTCCATTACCGGAGAGTGTAACCGTGATCTTATATGCGAAATTTCCGCAGGTTCTTCTCATCGATCAGTCGAGAAGCATCATATTCAAATGTGAACAACTACGAGTTGTCGGGGTATCTAGCAAAATACGGAGTTCGGGTCGTGTGTGCAGACAAACTTCCCAGCGATTTACACCAAACCAAACAAACATTTTGGGTCGTGAATACTGACAAATGTGGAGGTAAAGGATGGCATTGGGTTGTCTTTCATTTTCCCTCCACAGGACCTATAGAGTTTTTTGATTCACTCGGTAATGACCCTGAATATTATCAAGAGAGATTTCAACATATACTGTTTTCCAATGGACCAGGCTATTTACTCAACACTAGCCAAAACCAGTCAGAAACTTCAAATGTGTGTGGACATTATTGCATTTATTTTATTTTTCAGAGACTGAGAGAAAGATCCATGAAACTTATATTATCTGATTTTAATGTATTAGATTTGCTTGCAAATGACCGATTGGTTTACGATTTTGTGAAGAATATTTCTTAAATAAAAGAAAATAAACATTAGTCTTTAGTTGAGTTTCTTTTGACTTTGATATCATCACTAGGACATTTTTATAAAAATATTACTAGAATTAAAAAAAATCACATTTAAGAAGAAATAAATCTAGTAAACACAGCGTTGATGAAAAAATCTTTATTTTTTTCATTTACAAACAAAATATTTATGTACACATATTAAAATTTTATCCAAGTTTTAGCTATGTCAAATCGCGATTTCTTTTTCGTAGTTTCTCTCTTCTTTGGTTTTAAAATATCGACTGCAATCTTTCTCTTTTTGGGTATTAAAATATCTATATCCGATGCATCCAATTCGTCGTTATCACCAATAGTTTTTGCGTCTTCATTCAAAGGAACATGAGTTTCCTTGTCACTCGTTTCTTTCTTTTCGGGTTCATTCGCTTCTTTTTCTGGTTGTGTGTCACCATTATCGTCATTCTTCTGAAGGGATATGAGTTGCTGGTACCTTTCGTAGGGGACCAACACAGATTTCCGAATTACGTCCACCATTTCTTCAGAAATGGTTTAACTACTCGCAACAATACAGATACTGCTTTTTGATTTCTTGTTAACTTCTTTAGCTTGAGTTTTCGGGATGTATTTTTATCTCCTATTACTAAAAGAAGAGACTGGTACTTTTTTAATTATTCCTTCTCTTCTTGATTAAGCAGTATTACACTGTGGAGAACATTAGCTGCAATTTCTCCCAATACCTTCAGTTGTTGCTTTGTCACAGAACTTAACAACAGTTTTCGTTGTTTCGGATTTGTTTGTAACGAGAGTTCCAAGAAGTGTTTTTCAGTACTGACGGTACTCATTTTATTAAACATGATAAAAGGCAAATCTTCTTATAAAGCGGTGTATATGATTGTATCCTCTTCCGGAAAGATGTTTGTTCTTAATCTGTACTGATCATCTCCTTGTGGTGACGTGTCAATCACTAGATAGCCAAAGGGATGTTTAGTTGCATCTTTGTAAGCATCTACTAGAACTCGCGCTCGGCCGGGATACAACTGTCGACCCAAGGTTGATATCTGGGAAGAGTCTCGCGCGTTTTTCATTAGTACCAAATAGTAAGTATTCAAAGCTATGGAGCGAGTTTTGGACCCTCTCGGAAAGAGATTTTGGGTAATAAACACTACACTAAGACGGCGATGATGACAGCCTTGAGTAAATAAAAGTTCCATACCCTGTCTTGTACCACTCTATGCATCAGATCGTCGAGTACGATTAGTGAGTGTTGTCGATCTGAAGTAAAATCCTCAAGTATTTCTTTAGACGGGAGTCCGGGATGGAAAATTAAATTAGAAAACTCTCGTTCCATGTCATCAAACAAGGGTTGGTGAATACCATAAGAATACAAAACTCTTTTCGGAGGCTCGTCAGCATACATATCATCTAGGTGGTTCAATAAACGATACACAAAACGAGTTTTCCCACTCCCTGTTTGTCCACTGATACACATGCTAGAGCACAGTTGGAAAGGAATACTCATCTTGACTACATTAGATATGCATTCTCATTCTGAATGCTTCTTATATCCTTTCTGTTTTTATAGAAGGATTGGGTAATACATAGCCAATAGCACTACTAAGTAAAGATATCCACAATTCAGAGGAACCATTCCTCATAGATAAGTTAACAATGGACGTGATTATGATGATGTATACAACAATCATCCAATCATCTGACAGAAGTACACAATTTCCGATTTCGGAATTTTACTACCTAAAATACTCCATGGCTCTGTAGAGGTATTATTTGACGTCTCCATACTAACACCACACGAAAATAAACATGTGTTAGTTATTCTTATAGAAATCATCCATCCAATTTTCCTTATTGTTTGTAAATAATAAATGAACACTAGTATTGATATGCACATTCAAACAATTTATTACACAATGGATATTAGAATACACTGTATCAAATGTACACAAAGTTTACATAACCTTTATTGTAACGTACTTGATTATATAATACATATGATGAATTTAATCTTATGTTCAAACAACACACTGAACTCAATGATATGTAGTTATACTGGATGATTTAAACTCAATATACACCATTTGATTATACAAATAAGATTATAAAACGATAGAATAATGACTTGTTTGAACAAGCTAATGGTCATACAAGTAAATTGAACTGTTTTGTATTTTATCTAATTAATTTTTATCTTATTATTAGCCATCTTGTGCAAGCAGATGTATCAATTGTAAATCTAAATCGTCAATTTCTATTTCGTAAACTTTGGAGGGTTTCACAGGATACAATTCAATGTCTAATGGTTGTGTTGACACACCGTCGGACAAGACTTAACGTTTACAGTAAAAATACGTAAACCCATTTCTGATCTGACGGTATGTACACACACCATTATTTCGAACTTTGAAACCCATATTCTCTCCTGCAGACGTTCTTTGTGTTCTCAAAACATTTCTAAACGTAGTAAGAGGAGCCTTGACTCGTTTCTTTGAAATTCCTTTACAGGAACATTTTATTTTGTTGACAACACGAGGTTTATAGCGTTGCCTACGTAAAGACCTATATTTCTTTGCGCTATTCACTAAGCGTCGTGCTACAATCAACGTGTTGGACTGTGACACTTGCTCGCGAGCTGAGACAATGTACGTCTTTGAACAGAATCCGATAATTTCGTCTCCCTTGTATTCTATTTTAAATAAACCAGGTGTTCTGCGATCGTGTTTGGTATGTTGCACACAACAAGTGCGAGGAAACCAATGACGATCGCAGTCGGCCTCGATTTCAAGACCCGCTTCGCAGTACCCTTTCAAACTGTGATTGTAAGACGATAGCATATCTTTTTTAATCACGGACTCGAATGTGTGACCCGAAATTGCCATATATGCAGAGTCGGTATCCATCTCGCAATATTCAAAATCTGCACGCTCTACAAATCTATCCATAAAGTCATAATAGAATTGTAGCATATGCAGTTTCGCATATTGCAAAATGAAGTAGCCGATCTGAATTGGCAAATTCAAGTTCAACACTTTTTTAGATTTTTTCAATTTCGTATAATTCCTCATCTTCGAAGAGAGTGGTTAGCTTTCTAAACTGGGGTTCGTTTACTTCCTTCATTGCCCGACCTTCCCCTCGTATATATCTCAAAGTCTGAAATTTTTCCTGATCCATGATTGTGGATCCAAAGGCACTGTTACCTTCTAATTTGCGAGTATCCGCCAGAATCGATTTGCTTGGGTCAGCGTCACCTTGACGTCGAGCATTGCTAACATCGCGTACAAAATTTTGAAAACATTTCTGCGATGTGTATTCCACGGCCTGGTATATCTTGGAAATCTCCAAACCGTGAGATATATACCAACGCAGAAGTGGTGTGGCAATTAACAACTGACGGGCCCGCATTCCCCCAACAAATAAACGACGAGGTTTAGTAGATAGGTTAAAGCGCTTAGCGTGATTCTGCATGTGAGAACCTATAGCGTCAAATGAAATATCGGTGGTACAAAAGAGAGGGCTCATTTCGGAGAAATATTCGTAAGGTGTCATTGAAGGATGTTGGAAATGAGATGGCCAGGATTCTGGTACGCGAATCACATTCTACCATACCAAATAACTTTCCATTCATAACACCTGCAATGACGTCTTGCGAAGACAAACGACCTTGACTGAAACCCGATCTGCGGGATTGAACAAATTCCTTTAATCTTGTATTAAAGCGAATGTTGTTGCGAAAAGTGCATTCTCGCATCTCAAGTACCTTGAAACCTTTCAATTTTAGATATTGTGTGATTTTACGAGTCTTCTCTTCGCGGTTTTTCATGATTTTGTCGTCTTTGACGTGACGCGTCAAATAACAACGATGACCGTGCCAGTAGCACCCGTGAAACTGGAACACAGTGTTTGTGACCTGATCATAACCGTCTACTGGAAAACGACCTATTTTCTTTTCCTTCCCTAAATTCAATTTGTGAATGATCTTGTACTGACCACTGTGATTCAGCCACTCTAACCAATCAAAAGCAAGAGTGTATCGATCACGCTTGTGCGCTTTGAATCCATCGTCTACCTGACGACGCACGAATGAACCCACAGGCATTTCTTTCCCTATACAGTGTAGGTACAGAGCATTAGCATCAAAACCAATGATCCTGCCACAAGGTTTCTTTGGATTTCCACGAATATGAGATTTCCCGACCTCGTAGTATCGCTTGAATATGATACTCGGACCCCCTATTATGTTTTGCTTGATTGTATCATGTAAATCTTCGTTGGCTTGATCGATCAAAGCAAAACTAGCCCCTTCTTTTCTACCACTCTCAAACAACATTTGACGTGCGAGACCCGGTACAGAAATACTACATTTGAAAATGTCAATTCGACGCTCAAAGTAATATTTCTGTAAATTTTGTACAGCTTGTACAAAAGGCTGGACGTAAAGATTATTATACCAGACCAGAAAATCACGAAGAGTCTTCATGTTGTTCTCTTGCCACACGCTCTGACAAAAGGCATATTCCTCGTTTGTAATATTTGAATCTTTTAACGTCGAATGAAATGCTTCGTGTGGAGGAAGACATGGATAATTCAACTTTTCCACGGAGTCCAAAAACTGATAAGGAAAATATCCTTTTGATTCTTGAACGTCAAAAGCTCGCAAGAAACCAGAATAA